TTTCTCATCCTCAATGCTGCCATATTGGTCACTCACATTTGGTACATTGCCCTTCTCTTCACCCAAATCAGTACTTATCTCTATCTGTCTAACAGTGTTCCCTCCCCTCCCCTCCCACCCCTGGTAACCAACAAAGAAAATTTTAAAATATATCCAGAATTTAATTACTTCTCACCCTGTCCACTGCTGCTACCACGATGGTCAAGCCTCCATTATCTCTCACCAGGATTGTTTCCATCGATTTGATTCTTGGCCACTTCCCTCCCCCCCTCGCCCCAACTTTTTTTCTTAATACAGCCAGGTGAACCTTTTGAAATGTAAGTTAGATCATGTCACTGTCCTGCTCAAGAACATCTTGTGGCTCCCTGTTCCACCTAGGCTAAAAGCCTAAGTGCTTGAAAAAACCCAGGAGATCATAATTATTTAACCTCCTCTTCACTTTTTTGACTTCCTTTCTGCTGGCTCTCCTGTTCCCACTAAACTGTAGCCTCACTGGCCTCCTTCCCAATGCCAAGCTTGCTCCTGCCTTAATCAGGCCCACTACCATCAAGTCGATTCTAACTCATAGTAACCCTGTAAGACAGAGTAGAATTGCCCCATAGGATTTCCTAGGCTGTAAATCTTTATGGTAGCAGATGGCCTCATCTTTCTCCTACAGAGCAGCTGGTGGGTTGGAACTGCTCATCTTTGACTTAGCAGCCCAGTGCTTTAATAACTGTGCCCCTAGAGCTCCTGCCTTAGGGTCTTTGTATTGACTTGTCCTACCGCCTGGAATACCTTTGCTCAGTATCACCTTCTAAGTGAGGCCTTCTTTGTCAATCATGTTTAAAATGTTTAAACCATCCATATTCCCACTCAGCATTCCTGATCACCCTTACCTTGCTACATTGTGCTTATCACCGCTAACATACTATAGTAAAACCTGTGAAAGCTGGGACCTGTGTAAGGTGGAAATCTGCCAAAGAGGGAAAATTAAAATATTTTCCACTAAAATGAGTGATAGAAAGGTGTAAGACTGCATCCTGTCAAAGGCAGAAAACTTGTGAAACTGAAGAAACAAGGCAGTCCTGTTGAGTTCCAGCTCTCAGGTTTCATTGTACGTGCTTTTTTTTTTTTTTTTCCCCCATTGTATGTGCTTTTCTAATTAAATTTATTAGGTATCATGTGTGACACTGAAATGTAAGCTTCACACGGACAAGTTCTTTGTTTGGTCCACTGATGGATCTCAAGGGCCTGGAACATGTCTGACACATGACAGGTGTTTAGTATATATTTGTTGAATGAATGATGGATTTTCTTTCACATGGGACAATGATGGGATCAAAGTAAGACGACCCTAAAGGGAAAAGAAACCTCGAGTCGTGTCAGAGGATTCTTGGTTTCTGTCCTCTCTGGACAGATGCTTTACTTTTTTTGTTTTAGGGGTGATAGTAATTATGGTTACCATTTAAAGAGCGTACACACTGTATGAAGTTCTTTACATATCTAATTTAATCTCAACAATGTTATAAAGTAGTTATTATCTCCATTTTACAGATGAGCAAAACTGTGACTCTGAAAGCTGGCTTTTCAGAGCTTGCATGACATAAGTGGCAGAGCCATATGCTTCTATCCCACTCCACAAGGAACTATAACTCCCTATCAAACTAGGGAGCTAGGCTCCTGTCATTTACTTTGTCTCAGTTTGCCCCCAATTACTGGATCTGCTTCCAATCACCTTGTCTTTAGGGACAGTCACCCAGTTGTTCAGAGCCGTTCGTAGCCCCACCAGAGTCTCTGTCCTTCGAGCTTCATTTCGCCCCTTCAAGTGGTGCATGAGAGCCTGGATCACTTGCTTATTCAGGCAGCCTGGACAAGGAGGATCCTCAGGTCAGGGCAGAGCTTCAGGGGCTGCTCCTCTCTGCTAGGATCCGTTTGACTCTACTGGGCCCTCCAGGCAGAAGTTCCAAGTACTAGGTCCCAAAGTGTTCCCCATTTTCCCAGCACACTGGAACAGCAGACAGGGCACTGCCACAGTTCCAGGAGCCCGCCCTTCCCACTCTCTTTATACCCCAGCTGCCTTTTTCTGCCCAACAGTAATAAGTTAGCTTCCAGACCCTGCTAAGCTCTAGGTTGGAGTGGGTGTACACTCCCTTCTGTCCATATGCAAATTACTTGAGTGCTGCCTGCAATTTCTCCTTTCTCACCTACCCCCACAGGCCACCCTGGAAGAGGACATGCTCACCCAGGAGAGCCAGGGTTCGAAAGGCCTCGAACTTCACTTTCTCTGGACCAGTTTTGGCCTAATTTAGGAGGCAGGTAGTGGAAACATACCATAAGCTGATAGAATATAAGAGGTTTTAATAATGTTTAAATTTTACAGATAAAGAAACAGGCCAAAAGAGTGACCTGTCTAGGCGCAGACACAGAGCACAGGCAGGATAGAGCAATGGAAGGAATCACTTGGCCTTGGGCAAGTCACTTGGCCTCTCAAAGCTTCCCTTTTCTTATTAGAAAAGTACAGATGCTAATTCCTGTTCTTTGTATTGTTGGGACATTTAAATGGGACTATGAATAAGGATGCATGCTTCCAGTTGCAAGTGGACGTAGAATCATGTGGCAATGTTGGAGGTAGAGAATGAATTTAGCCCCAGTTCTTTTCTTTCAGTCCAAGCTTTTCTGGTAGCCAAGGGGATCTTCAGATTTCCCCTTTTCCATCCTTTATATCAAACTGCTCTTGAAAAAGCCAAGGACATGATGTGGAGGGGAGGGCATGCTACACACTGGTGGCTTGCTCTGCCCTGTGTCTGACCCAGCATCCTTGCACCTCCCGGGGAGCCCTGTCTGTGCCCATATGCCTATTATCTGCACACCTCGTACCCCGTGTCTCCCTCTCCTGAACTCCACGCAGCCCCAGACTCACCACCTTCCGTAGTGCCTCTATGATAAATTTGTCACTGATGCCCAGGCACCCCAGAGCCTGCAAGAATAAGAGTGGAGGGAAGAAAGAGACCTTGGAGACCACCCCTGGATATAGCTGGATTTGTACTGTGAGTACCACCACAACCACCCCTAACTCAGGAGGCTTTTTTACTCTCCAGTTTAGCCAACTCCTGAGGTTAACTGCCCTCCTCCACCCTTGCCACTTATCACCTGAGCTGCATAGTGTTGCTCGTCCTCTCTGGGAGATTCCAGACTTTGTGTGAGTTCCTGCCCATCCACAGCAGCCAATGGAAAGGAAAAAAGGCATACATATAGAAGTGCAAGCTGGATGGAGCTCATCCAATGCAATCCTTTTTCCTCCCCTCCCTCTACTGTACAGGCAGGGACAGAGGACTAAAGGATAGTGTGAGCCCAAGGTAAGGGTACCCAAAAGGAGGGAGTCTTCCCATCCCCCTCCCATCATGGTTCCTGACCTTTAATCTTTGCCACTTGAGGGGGTCTGAAGTAGGCCCTGAGAATGTGGAGTCCACTTGAGATTTTGGAGTCAACTTGTTTATAGGGAGATGGAGTTTTTGGAGCTGAATACTTTGTTTGAGGTACCTGCGTAAGCAATTGCACAGTCTTGGTTCCTTTGCTCTTTCCCTCACTAGGTCCAACCCCTCCTTATTACAGTCTTGAGCTCAGCTCAGGGATGGGACTGGAGGAAGACAGAATAGGGTGCAGTGACATCCACCCAAACCAAATCTCTCTTTACCCTTGGGTCTTCTTTGGGACCTGTAGGCTGACTTGCCCCACTCCCTATCCCACCCTGTCTGTCTACCCCTCTTTGCTAGAGGGTTTGGAGGATTTGGGGGTGGGCATAGTAGCACACCTAGGGTGATCTCTCATTTTCTGCAACATCTTCTGGACCTCCCGTTCCTCTCGCCGCCCATAGAGAGTGTGCCAGTGTGAGTAGATTTCAGGCTTCTGGGAGTAGCAGTAAGGCACCGAGTGTGGCTTGCTTGGGTGCTGCCTCCAGCACTCTGGACTTGGGGGGAACTCCTCCTTTGGCATCTGGGGGTGAGTGGCAGAGCAGTTACAGAGGATATCCCTCAGGCAGGGTCTCCTAGGCCCATACATGGGTGCTGGGTACTGGAATGGGTGAGGTATGAGAGGTGCCCTTCAGCCTCTCATCTGGGCTGGAGTTACAGCTGCCTCTTAGCCCACTGTGTGACTTGGACAAGTTACTTCACTCCACCAAGATCTTAGTCTTCTCACTGTAAAATGGAGCTAATCATCCTTGTTCTGTGTCCCTTCCAAGGTTGTTGTGAAGATCAAGAGAGAGAAAGATTGTGAAGCCATTGGTGATCTGTAAATCAATCTTGTATATAGTTTGGTCAGTTGAAGATCTCAACCCTTGAAAAGGTCATCTGGGGAGGGAAATGAAAAGGAAGGCAAGGGGTGGGTGAGATATGAAGTTCAGAGGGGGAAAAGACGTGCTATTCCTCATCCATGCAGGATTCAACAAATATTTATTGAACACTGCTGTGTGCGAAAAAAGAGCCCTGGCGTTGCAGTGGTTAAAGCACTTGGCTGCTAACTGGAAGGTTGGCGGTTCAAACTCACCAGCTCACTCTGTTGGAGAAACGTGGTAATCTGCGTCTGCAAATACTGACAGCCTTGGGAACCCTATGGAGCAGTTCTCTGTCATAGAGGGTTGCTATGAATCAGAATTGACTCGATGGCAGAGGGTTTGGGTTTTTTTGGACTATGTGCCAAGCACTGTGTGGGGTGCTGGGGATGTAGTCATCTTCCCTGCCCTCATGGAACTTACAGTTTAGTTAGGAAAGCACACATCTTCCATTAATCTCTCTTAGTTGTGAAACAGCAGATCTGATTATGGTGGAGAGTTTGAGGTAATCAGGGCTTTCTCTGAGGATTTGGCTCGGATTCATCCCTGCCCTTCCTCAAGCCTTCCTGTCTTTACAACAGATCTCTCTGGGCAGTAGAAAAAAGGAGCTTCACCCAGTGATTCCCAAGATGGTGACTGAAAAGATAATATGAAGGGTTCTCGGTGATTGTCGTGATTTCAGAAAGTGGAACATTGACTCACTATGAGAAGAGCTGCTAGATTTAGCAAAAAACAGGATGCTAGGTTAAAACCGAATTTCAGGTAACAAATGCAATATTTGTGACATCTTATACTAAGAGATTATTCATTGCTTATCTGAAATTCAAATTTAAATGCACATCCTGTGTTTTATCTGGCAACTCCATTGGATCTCTGTGTTAAGTAATAAAAATGACTCCCACTATTAAGCACTCCCTGCATGGCGCAGGCCTGAGGGGCATTCTCTTACAGCAACCCTACAAAGGCAGGGGTTGGCCTGTGACACAGGAAGTTCCTAAGTCTCAGAGAGGAAAAGTGACTTGTCCAAGGTCACACAGAGTCAATGGCATCCCCAGAGTGAGTGTCGGGGTTCCGTGAGCTGGCCTTAATGGGAAAGGACAGTCTACTTTTATGCTGACAAGGCTCCCAGAATGGCAGAAATTAAGGGTCTTACCTGGTAGCAGGACAAAGGTAGGTGAGCAAGAGTTGTGGCTTTTCTGAATTCTGGGAAGAAGGATAAGAGTGTTAGTTCATGATTCCAGTCCACCTAGGGGAATTCTCTGGAAAAAGGAGCAGCTATGAGCAGTTAGCTGTCCACACTCACAGCAGCTAGGATATCTTTTACATTTTACTGGTAAAAGGAATCTGGGTACTGTACAACAAATCATCCCAAACTGAGTGGCTTAAAGCAACAACAATTATTTATTTTGCTTCCAAAACATCTGCAATTTCAGCAAGGCTTGCCTAGGACACCTATACTTTTCCATGAAGCTATCTGGCTTCCTCATGGCTCTGAATTCCAAGAGCATTTTTGTGACCTAGCCTCACAGAGTGTCACTTCCTCCATACTCTATTGATAGAGGCACTCATAAAGGAAGGTTCAAAGAAGAGGGCATAACTCTACCAATCAATGGGAGGAGTAACAACATCACATTATAAGAAGGGCATATGGGATGGGATATGTTGCTTTGGCCATCTTTGGAAAATACAATCTGCCACAGGGACCAAAATCTACTATAGTGCCCTATTCCTCTTTGATCTCTGGCAAGGACAAATCACAATTTAAATAAAATGTTATGCAAATAAAAAAAATGTGGTGTGGTACAAATGAAAGAACAATTGCAAAAGTGGGTAAATGAATCATTCATTCAGGCATTCTTTTATTCAGCATTGCGTGAGCACTCAAAACTCCCACCCAAAACAAACCCACTGCCATCAAGTCGATTCTGACTCCTAGTGACCCTATTGAACTGCCCCATATGGTTTCCAAGCCTGTAAATGTTTACAGAAGCAGGCTGCCTCATCTTCCTCCTGAGGAACAGCTGGTAGATTTGAACCACTGACCTTTTGGTTAGCAGCCAAAGCCAAATATTTTAACCACTGCATCACTAGAGCTCCTTAGTGAACAGTGGTGCCAGGTATTTCAACAGGCACCAGGGAGGTAAGGAAGGCATAATTCTTGCCTTTCAAGAGCTCATAGTCTTCTAGTTCTTTGCTACTTAAACAGTGGTCTGTGGAACAGCAGCCCATTGGCATGGTCTGGGAGCTTCTCAGAAACGCAGACTCTCAAGCTTCATCCCAGACCACTGAATCAGGTCTTTAACCAGATTTCCAGATGATTCCTATGTATGTTGAAATTTGGGAAGCCCTGATCTGGTAGAGTGGTTCTCAACCCTGGTTGTGTATTAGAATTATCTGGAGGAACTTTTAACAACCTGCTCCTGTAAAGATTACAGCCTAGAAAACTCTATGAAGCATTGTGCTTTGCCACCTGGGGTTGCTATGTGTTGAAAATCAACTCAAAGGAAATCCAATACAATAATCTAATTGAATCAGATTCTCTGGGGATAGGGTTTAGGGATTTTCAAAAGCTCCACGGAGGATTCTAATGTGCATCTAAGGTTGAAAATCATTGGCTTACTTCAGCATTTCTCAAGCTTAAGTAAACATTAGGGTCACATGGGGAGCTTGTTGAAACACAGATTTTTGGGAACTATCCTGGAATTCTTGCTTCAGTAGATCTGGGGTGGAGCCTGAAAATTAGCATTTCTGGGGGTCTGGGTGGGAGGTCCCTGGGTAGCATAAAGGTTTGCAATAGGCTAATAACCTAAAACTTGGTGGTGCACATCCACCCAGCAACACCGTGGAAGAAAGGCCTGGTAGTATGCTTTCGTGAAGATTACAGGCAGGAAAACCTTATGGGCAGTTCTACTCTGTAACACATCGGTCACCGTGACGCAGAATCAACACAACCACAGTGGGTTTTCTGGTTTTGGGGTTGGGCCAGGGACCACACTTTGAGAGCCACTAGTCTGGTTGGTGAAGTAGAAATGTTAATTAGTGATGAACTCAAACTAAAACGAAACCCACTACCATTGAGTCAATTCTGCTTAAGAGTGAGCCTAGAGGGCAGAGTAGAATAAATAGCCCCATAGAGTTTCCAAGGCTGTAAATGTTTACAGAAGCAGACTGCCTCATCTTTCTCCCCTGGAGCAGCTGATGGGTTTGAACGGTCAGTCTTTTGATTAGCAGTTGAATTCCTTAGCCATTGTACCACAGAGCTCCTTTGGTGATGAACAGAAAGAAATAAATGTGAAGGTAAGATATAAGCATGAGGTAAAGATGAGGAGCACCTAGCCTGGCTGGAAGGATCAGGGAAGGTTTCCCAAAGAGTTTATACACAAGCTGAGTCTTCAATACAAGTAGGAGTCAGCCACATGGACAAGGGGAAGAGCACCAGGCGTAGGAAATGACTTCTGCAAAGACTTGGAGGTATGAGAGTTGGGGCAGAGAGCAGGGCCCAGGTCTGGGAGCAAAAGCTGGGAGACACAGAGGTGCCTCATCCTCGAAGGCCCTGTGGGCCCCACTAGGGAGCTAAAGACTTACCATGACGGTTGTGAGGAGCCATGGAAGTACCTAAAGGCTTGTCCTGTCCTTTCCCATGGATTTCCTGAACTCACCCAGACCCTCTGGTGGGAATGGGAGCCAGGCAGCCTTTCTCTTTCAGGACCCTGCCCCTGGCTCTGTTCCTGTCCATTCTAGCCTCACCTTTGGCCCTTTCTGGATATTCCAGCCATGGGTATTTGTACATTGACTTGTTGACATCGAGGACGTGTGTCTTTTCATAGAACATCTTCTTGTTCTCCTCTGAGATGGAAATAGTGAGCTCCTTTTGGGACTCTTGGAAGGCTCCGGTTGCATCTGGGGAAGACTCATCCATTTTGGCACCGATGAAGTGTCCAGCTTCAGGAGGGAGAGGCTACCAAGTGCTAAGCAACCAGATCACCTTGGTAAATAGAACACTCGAGTTCCATTCTTGAGCCCCAGCCCTGGCATCCACTGGCTTATGGATCTGAGCCAATCTCTCTACCTCTCTGAGCTTCAGTTTCCACATCTGACAAGTGGGAAAGCCATACCTGCCTGGCTTAAGTGGAGGGGCAGTGGTGAGACATAAATCCAAAAAGAAAGTCAAAGTGTTTGGTGAACTGTCCAGCTCAAGTAAGTCCATGTTGGGGGCAGGAGTTGTTCTTAGGATTAGTCAGCAGGAAAATGGCAGGGATGGGAGAACCCCTTTACACACACACACACACACCCCTCCTTGGGGGCAAGAGAGTCCCCACAAATCTTATGAACTCTACCTGTGTGGGAAGGAACTACCTTTCATAATTTTCTGCCTTTGCATATGCTGTTCCCTCTACCTGTCAAGCTTTTCCTCTCCTTTTCTACTGGTTAAAGTACGATTCAAATCTTTCAGACTCTGTTCAAATGTTACCTCATCTCTGAAGCCTCTCTTCTCCCTCAGGCTCCCTGCCCTAACCACTCAGTGGTATAATCCTCCTCTATCACCTCTCACTGTGACCACAGCCTTTTGTATAGTTTCTTCCCTTTCAGTGTTTATCATGTGTCCTATCTGTTCACAGATCCATCTTCCTCACTGGACTTAATGGCAAAGATTGTTGCTCACTCACTTCTCTCTTCTGCCCTGTCCAATGCCCAGCATAGTGGCCGGCACACAGAAGACAGCACACTATAGCTTGAAAACATGGGCCACCAAGTCATCAGACTTAATGTCACCAGTAAACTGACATCATATGTCCTGATGTGATGCAATGAGAAAGACACAATGTCATGCACTGTGTTATTCTTGCCCAAACTGTTAAGCTAAATCCAAATGTGAAGAAACATATAGGCAAATCCATGTTGAGAGACAGCCTACAAAAATCTAGTCTGACACATGGAAACAATTAGTCCAAGGGACTGGTAGACTATGCGATCCTCAGCCTGTATGACCATGAGACCAGAAGAACTGGATGGTGCCCAGCTACCACTGTCAACTACTTTGGAGGGGGATCAGTGTAGGAGATCCTGGATGGAGTTGGAGAATGGTGTGGAACAAAATTCAAAATCATAAAAAAAAAAAGGACCAGGTTTGCTAGTCTGATAGAGCCTGGTGAGACCCCTGAGACTATAGCCCCTAGTTACTCTTCAACCCTGGAACTGAACTCACTCCCATGCCTTCCAGCCAAACAATAGACAAGCATATGGGGTGAACATTTACATCAGGTTGATACAGTCCTTGGAGCCATCAATCGTGGGAGAACAGAAGGGCAGTGTTTGCCCTGGAGATAGGTCAGGGGACAAAAGTGCATAGGAGGGAAGGACACAGGGAAGAGGTAACTACGGGGTGGAAGTGGGAAGAGAGCTGTTACATTGTGGGGAAATGCAGTCAATGTCATATAACAAAATGTATATGAAATGCTGTATGGAAAACGAATTTGCTCTGTAAACTTTTACCCAAAATCAATAAAAATTGAAAAAACAAATCTAATCTGAATGCTAAAAAAATGTCAATGTCTTGAGAGACAAAAAGATACTAAAAAGATATAACTACATTCAATATGTGTACTTACATGGATCCTAGATTTTAAAAAAATAGCTGTCAAAGGGCATTATTAGGACAATTGAAGAAATTTGATTATGGACTGTATATTAGAAAATACTATTGTGTCATTGTTAACTTTCTGAGTGTGTGAGTGAGCTACTCACGTAGTTATGTAGAATATCCTTGTTATTGGGAGATGCATACTGAAACTTTCAGTGGTGAGATGATACCATGTCTGCAACTTACTCTCAAGTGGTTCAGAAAAAGTATATACCGACTATGTATATCTATTTGTGTGTGTGTGTATATATATATATATACACACACACTGTAGTCATTTTCTTCCTAGGAAACTCTGTGGGCAGTTCTATTCTGTTCTGTAGGATTCCCTATATACATATATATAGGGAGCTCTGGTGGTGTAGTGCCTAAGGCATTTGACTGCTAACCAGAAGGCTAGTGGTTCAAACCCACCAGCCACTCCTCAGAAGGAAGATTGGGCAATCTACTTCCATAGAGATAGCGCCTCAGAAACCCAAGGAGGGGCCGCTATGAGTCGAATCGACTCAATGGCAGTGAGTTTGGTTTATATATATGGAACTCTGGTGGCACAGTGGTTAAGGCATTTGGTGGCTAACCAAAAGGTCGGTGGTGTGAACCCACCAGTCACTCCACAGGAGAAAGATGAAGCAGTCTGCTTCTGTAAAGACTTATAGCCTTGGAAACCGTATGGGACAGTTCTAATCTGTCCTATAGGGTCACTATGAGTCAGAATCAACTCAATAGTAGTGGGTTTGGTTTGGTTTGGTTATATATGCATACATGCATATATGTATGTACACATGCATGTATATGTGTATATGATATACATATTTATATATGTGTGTTTGTGTGTATGGAGTCCCTGTTGTTGTTATTATGTGCCCTCGAGTCGGGCCCGACTCATAGCGACCCCTCCTTAGGTTTCCGAGGCAGTATCACTACAGAAGTAGATTGCCCAACCTTCTTTCCGAGGAGTGGCTGGTGGGTTTGAGCCTCCAGCCTTCTAGTTAGCAGTCAAGTGCCTTAGGAGCTCCTTGGAGTCCCTAGGTGGTGCAAATGATTAATGCACTCAGCTGCTAACTGAAAGGCTGGGGGTTTGAATCCACCCAGAAGCACCTTCCAAGAAAGGACTGATGATCTATCGGTGAAAAATCCACCAGTGAAAACCCTATGGAGCACAATCATACTCTGACATACAGGGAGTAGCCATGACTCAGAGTCAACTTGACAGCAACTGCTTTCGGAGGTCTATCTTTTTATCTATCTAGACATACTGAACCCACTGCCATCGAATCGATTCTGACCCACAGAGACCCTAAAGTACAAAAAAGAACCGTCTCATAGGGTTCCCAATGCTGTAAATCTTTACAGAAGCAGATTGCCTCATCTCTCTCTCAGGAAGGAGCTGGTGGGTTTAAACCACTGACCTTTTGGTTAGCAGCCGAATGCTTTAACCACTGTGCCACCAGACATATCTAGACATAGATAAAACAAATTAATTGAATCTCAGTGAAGGGTATGTGGGTGTATTCTTGCAAATTTGTGTAGGCTTGGAATTTTGCAAATTAAAGGTAGAAACAAAAAGCATGCATTTTACCATTAGACTTGATGAATTTAAATCTTATTTGTACCATCCTCTTTTTTTTTTTCTTTTTCCTTTTCCTGTGTGCCTTTGGGCAAATAATTTCTTTCTCTTGCCAAAGGTTTTCTCAATATAAAAGGGCTAATAACAGTACCCTTCCCGTAGGGTTGTGAGTATGGAAAATTATGCTGAATGTGAGGGCCTGAGCCAATGCCTGACACATGGACACTGAATGCTCCATTAATGCTAGCTATAATCATTACTATACAAGGGTTACCTGTACCCTCAATATATGTTTGTAGGAAGGGCCACATATGTGGACAAGTTCAAGTATTACCTGTACTGGTGCAGTCATGGAAAAACCACAAAATATCTTCATCTCCTCATTTTAAAGAACTGAGGAGTTTTGGGATTGCCATTATATCCCATTCCTGGGGCACAGATGGTGGTAGAGCAACCCACTGGAGATAAGGTATAGGGTGGGCTAGGGTGGGAGGGAAGCAGAGGGGTGGAAGGGCAGGCTGAGGTCTGAGGCACGGAGTGAGATAAACTCCTGGAGACCTGGGAGTGGGGAGACAGTGACTGTTGGTTCCCCATGGACAGGCTAAATCACTAGTTACTTTTCTTCCTCTGTCCTGCCCATGCCCTCTTTTCAGGGAGCTTTTGTTTCCAGCCCTGCTTACTGGCAGAACGACAGCGCCCCCAGTTCTAGGGTGGACACTAGACATGTGCAAGCCCTGCACATGCTTAACGCTCATGGGGGAAGGAGAGTTCCTGGAGAGGAAATCAAACCAGAAGCCAGCTTTGCAATTACATTGTGCTTTTTAATGGGAAGCTGATTTCTCATGTTTGTCAGTCATCTCTTCCCAGTGAGGTGCTGAGATGGGAACCTTGGCCCTGATGCATTCCCATTGGAGCCCAGTTTTCTTCCCTTCTTGCTTTTGGAGGTACACTGGCTTCTTTCCAGGCTGCAGAGCCATGGCCAGGCTGAGCCTCGAGGAACCAGTAGCTCAGAGCCTAGAGACTGCCCATTCACAGGGCAGAGTTTCAGTAGCTCTTTGAGGCTTTAGTTGCTCAGAGTTTTAGTAGTTCTTCAAGCCCCCAGGGAGGCTTTTGTAACTGCTGCCTTGTGGTTGAATCCTCGCTTTCCAAGGAGGGGTGGGAATAGAGGAGTGCGCGGCGCGCGCACGTGTGTGTGTGTGTGTGTGTGTGTGTGTGTGTGTGTGTGTGAGACAGCCTCCCAAGCTGGTTAGGACAAGGGCAAGCAGCAAGAGGAAAATTTGCACAAGCTTAATAGGTTCAAGGCGCCCTTCATCCTAGCTCATCTCTAAAGAGTTGATGTACTCCCGCACCCATTTCTTCTGTGGGTTGGCGCACACTTGGCGGTTCTTTCGGGTGACAAAGCTGTGGAGAAAGAGAGAAAGAGAAAAGGGGTGAGACCTGGTCAGACCTGGGGCAACCACGTTTTGGAGGTGAGGTGGATTGAGGCGTAAGGGGAGATGATGGTGGTGCTGGTATCTTGGAGCTCCATTAGCTTTGTGGCCTCTAAGGAAAGGACATTTCCTCTCCTGTAAAGTCAAAGGGCTCCAAGCCAGAAGCAGATTTGTATGCTTTTAACCTCTATACAAAGAGATGTCGTCTGGAAAGCTAAACCGGTCTAGAGGTATGGAGCCTGAAGGGCCCAAAGTTGAGCTGATCAGCCACTAGCCAGAAAACAGCATTCCATCTATTCCAGACCCTGTGCCTGAGGGCTCGAGGAAGAGGATGAAGTCTGTGTCCTCTAGGGCCTGAGTCATGGCTGAGTGAGAGATGAAAAGTGGCTAGAAAAAAAACTTGTGATTTAGCTTCAGATAACACAGTGCCTGGCACAGAGTAGACAATAAGTGGTTACATGAGTACATCCACGCATGCAGAGATGGATGAACATGGAAAGGACATGAACTTGAGTCTTGATTTCATCACTTACTCATTCAGTGACTTTAGGAAAATCACTTAGAGCCTCTGAGTCTATTTGTTTACCTCTAAAATGTGCATAGAAATAATTCCTACACATTTTTGTGAAGCTCAAATGAGACAATATGTGAAGGAGTTTGAAAAATACCATAATGTGGTGGTGGTATTAGATTCCTGGACAACACGTGGTTTGGTGTGGGTCAGAGTGACATGAGACCACAGCAACTGCACTGGACAGCATGGCGCCGAGGCGTTGAGGGCCCTGAGATGTTGGCAGTGTTAAAGCACTTGAACCAGTTAACCAGCAGGTGGAGGCATATGAGAATGAGACGAGGCCAGTGATGGTGCAGTGGTGGCATTTTGCCTGTCGTGTGGGAGGCCCAAGTTCGATTCCCAGCTGATGTCTCTCATGTGCAGACATCGTCCCTCTGTCAGTGGAGGCTGGCATGTTGCTGTGATGCTGAACAGGTTTCAGTGGAGCTTCCAGGCTAAGGCCAGGAAGAAAGCCTTGGCATTTTACTTCTGAAAATCAGCCAGTGAAAATGCTGTGGATCACAGTGGTCCACTTCATGATTGATCATGAAGATGGCCCAGAACCAGGTGTGTTTCTGTTTTGTTGTGTGTGGGGTCACCACAAGATGGGGCTTACTCAGTGGCAGCTGACAACATGAGAGCCAGAGCTGCTGGTGGCGATGGTGCAAACTGAAGGTGTCAAAGGCTGGGAGTCCCGGGGATCAGTGTAGCTGCCTGCCTGACCAGTCTGCTGGTTTGATCTGGGGGAGACCTTGGGCCTGGGTAGAGGTACTGCCAATTACCATATTACTCAGGAGTATCCAGAAGTACCCAGAGGTCAGCCCTGAGGTAAAGACTACTTGACCTTTCTCATTTTGACTTCTCCTTTAGGATGTTCTCCTGCATATTCCTGAGCCCAAATGTTTCCAGGCCAAGTGAAGGCATAGATCGCCTGGTGAGAAGGGGGATTCCTTGCTTCTCTTTGGGCTCTGTCCTGGATAACATTTGCTCACAGAGAAGCAGGTTTTTTTTTTAAGCCACTTGATTTTCTTGCTTTCTCCCACACTTCTGTGTTGAGAAAGGGAGGAGAAGGGGTGTTCTGGGTTCTCATGCCCCCTAGTGTTTGTTCTCTTATTTGGGGGAAGATGGGGAGGGAGCTTCAGGAGTCCTGGTGGTGCAGTGGTTAAGTGCTCAGTTGCTAACCAAAAGATCAGTGGTTTGAATCCACTGTCCACTCTGCGGGAGAAAGATGTAGTCATTTTCTTCCTAGGAAACTCTGTGGGCAGTTCTATTCTGTTCTGTAGGGTTGCTATGAGATTCAATTTGGAGGGTACTTCTGGCCCAGACCCTGCCATTGCTCAGCCAGGTGTCACATAGGAAATCCTTCCAGACTCACTGTCCTTTCCTTGGTTGCCTTGTCTGTGGCCTGGAAGTCAAAAGGCCAGGAAACCAACATCTGGGGTGACTGTTGCTCAGACCTGCATTTCTGCCTCCTCCTGCAGAGTGTGATACCAGAGAACAGCCTGTGCTTGCAGTCTTCTCCGCTCCTGGTTTCGGCCCCTTTGCTTTCCTGACTTTCTTCTCTGCTGCTCAGGCTCTTTGGGAGCCTTTACCTTCACCTGTCCCTTAAGAGTGTTGCCACCCTTTCATCTTCTCTGTCTTTTCCTACTTTCCAGCCTTGGGCCTGACATAAAATAGTGCTTGATGAATATTTATTGAGTAAGAGAATGGTTGGACTCTAAGTTTTACCTGCCACTTCTGTGTATATAATAATACATTTAGATAACGCAGATGCTGGTGAGTTAGCACTTACTGGGCACCTGCTGTGTGCCAGGCAATATTCTAAGCATGTTATTATTCTGTGCTCAGTAAAGGAAATAACTCCTATTCACCCCATTTAACACATGAGAAAATTGAGGCTCAGAGAGGTTACATGACTATCCCAAGCTCATGCAGTTACCAAGTGGCAGAGCTGGTATTCAGTATAGGCAGACTAGTGTCAGAGCCAGTACCCACTAAGACCACTCTGTTGCCTCTCTTTTATTGGAAGACCCCTTAGCACTAGAAGAGAGTGTTGCATCTCTAGCCCTTCCTTAGTTATCACACTCCCTGCTGGGCATTTCTGCTGGGTTGACTTGTTGGTCCCTCAGGCTCAAACGGACCCAAACCACACACGGTTCTCTTAACTCTTGAAATAGCTCATTATCTAGACTTACAGGGCTCTGGCCTTGTCTAGTGTCTGGGCTGAAACCCCAGCCTCACCCTCATCCCCTCTTATATTCTCTCAATTCAGCGCACTGCCATGGCTTGCTCATTCCACCTCTGGTTTCTCACCCCTCTCTCTCTTTTCCTTCAGGCACTGTTTGGCCCCAAATACCACTCATGTGGATAAAGACCACAGTCTCCAAACTGGAGCCCAATTTTCTAGGCTTTTCCTGTTTCAGTTCATTTCATACCTGACTGCTCAAATGCTTTTGCTTCCTTGTCCTGACACTCAAGGCTCTTCTCAGATAGGTCCGGCCTCTCTGCCTCATCTCTCAGCCTTCCCTTCACAGACGCTGCACAAACCAAAACTGAGTCCTGGAAGCATTCCCTCTGCCTGGCACACCCAGCTCCTCAGGCTTTTCTCGGCCGGTCCAAGTCTTACCTTGGCTGGCACTTCTTGCAACCAACCTGCACCCAAATCCCCTCTCCTAACCCCTGAAACTGCATGCTGTTCTCCCCCTCAGGCTGCATGGCACTCTAGGCTTTGTTGCCTCGGTCTTCTCCCTCTAATAGGCCCCATAGCAGCAGGGATGGTGGTTTGTTCATCTCTACCTATGCACCATGGATGTGCAGTGAAGGATATTTTTCTTCTGAAAAATGTTTGTTTTCAGAATTAAAATGAATAGTGCTAAATATTTATTAGGAGCTCTGGTAGCATAGTGCCTAAGATACTTGACTGCTAACCAGTAACCAGAAGGCTGGTGGTTCAAACCCACCAGCCACTTTTTGGAAGGAAGACTGGGCAATCTACTTCCATAGAGATACCACCCCGGAAACCCAAGGAGGGGTCGCTATGAGTCGGGGCCGACTCGACGGCACATAACAAGAACAACAAAATATTTATTGTGACTGGAGGGATTCATCAGAACCCAAGTCTGACTCTGAATCTTGTAACTTTGCCAGGGTCGTGATAACTTTTGGGTGAACACATTTAGCTCTCATAATGAAACTCATGATGGCCCCATTGACATTCTCTATCACCTTCAATTTCCTAGGCAAAGGTCACTAAAGACCATGCTTTAGTAGAAAGAGAAGGTTCCAGAGACAGACTCTAGCTTCACTTACTGTGTAACCCTGGGCAAGTCACCAGAGCTTTCTGAGCCTCAGTTTTCTTACCTGAAGCATGGAGAGAATGATGCATTTGCACCAGGTATGGGAGTTGGAGATAATGCACACAAGACATGTCACACAGCGTGGGCACCTGCCCTGCCTAAACTCAAAACTCACCGCCATTAAGTTGTTTCTGACTCATAGCAACCCCTCCTTGGGCTTCCGTGGCAGTATCTCTACAGAAGTAGATTGCCCAGTCCTCCTTCTGAGGAGTGGCTGGTGGGTTTGAACCACCAGCCTTCTGGTTAGCAGTCAAATGCCTTAGGCACTATGTCACCAGAGTTCCTATAAGATTATTACGTTTTTCCAAATGTAAGTATTATATTTTTCCAAATGTATTAGTTTACATATTTAAAAGAATCATTTGTTTCTCCAATCAATAAATTTTTTTAAAAAATTATATTGTTATTATTTTTTGATCCTTTGAATGACCCCTGACCTCTCCTCCCTAGTTCCTCTGAGATTGCAGGTGGATTTGATTAGGTCTGGAGGGCTCCATGGGGTTGAGACTCACACGACTGCTGGGTTGGTGCACTTGCCACTGGTGTAGAAATACTCCTGGACGTGGGCGCGGGGCAGTGCGCGGGAGATGTAGGCAAAGCAGCAGGGCGTGGTGTCCGAGGCATCTGAAAGGAAGAAAGAGGGAGACCCCTTGGTTCACTGCCAGCGCACACTGGGCACCGTGTGGAGTGCTTTCTATGCTTTACCTTGAATGAACTGGTATCCATCCCCATTTGGCAGAAACTGAGGCTTAGAGAGTCACTTGGCCATGGACACACAGTGACAGAGTGGGAATTCAAACACAGGACTGAGGGATCTCCGCTCCTCTCATCTAATCACTGAGCCCAGCTTGGCTTGTTTCCTCTACACCATAACTTCCTGTCCTTGGCTGTCAGGACATGCTAGGCCTCCTGGCTCACCCTGGACCCTCTGCCCTCATCCTTGCCCTCCCAGGATCCTTAATGGATTCAGAACTTGGGTTCTTTGGAACCTGGGGTGGCTGGGTGGAGGGAGAGTTTCTGAAACTCAGAATCTGTAGCTCATCCAGACTCCTAAGAAGGACCTGAGGATGCACACTGCACTCTGGGTGCCTCTGGCTGAGTCACAGCAAGAAGGGATCTGACAGAGAAGGAGGACCATTTTGTCCATTCATTAATTCAAGATAACATTGGGAAGTATGAGTTGCCACTTACTAGCAGGACAGTGGTGCTTAAATGCCAGATAGAGCTGGATTTGAATACTAGTTCTCCTACTTCCTGACTGTGATCTTGGGCTAGTTACTTACCCTCTCTGAGACTCTGTTTTCCCATCTGTAAGTCAAGGACGACTACTCAAAAAAGTTATTAAATAAGATAATACATTTAAAGCAGTCAGCACAATACCTGACACATAAAACCGAAAAACTAAACTTGTTGCTGTCAGGTCAATTTTGACTCATGGCAATCCTATAGGACAGAGTAGAACTGCCCCATAGGGTTTTCAAGCCAACGATCTTTATTACATTTATTATAAATGTATATTATTATCATAAATTTATTATAAAGCAGATTATTACATTGTTCTGTAGAGCAGCTGGTGGGTTTGAACCTCCAATATTTCAGTTAGCAGCCGAGTATTTTAACCACTGGGCTACCAGGGTTCCTTACCTGACACATAGTAGGTATTTAGTAATCATTAACTATTTTTATCCTCTCACAGCCTCAGTTTTTCCATCTATGAAATGGGGGAGTATATGACTTCATCCCAAGAGAGATTTCGGTTAAGTGCTCAGAAGCTTCTTAGAAACTTCTTAGGCATGAGTCAGTTGTGTTTCGAGGTCAGCTTGAGTTGTCCCTGCCTGCTAATACCACCAGCAACAGTCCACACTCAGTGAGCACCTCTGGGCTCTGGGGGTAGACTTTGAAGACACAGAAAAGTTGATCAGGGGTTTCTGCCATGAAGGGACTTAGAGACCTCTCAGGGACAATTAGACACCCAGCTACAACAATACATAAGAATGTAAAAAACCGAATTCAGACAGTAAATGCAGAAGTTGAAAAGAGAGTGAGGTCAGTGATAGAGAGGTGGGGAGGACATTCTGGGCAGAGGGGCTGGCTCTGGGGGCTGCAGTGGCCAGGACCTGGACTTACATGGAGAGGCAGATGCAGGGGTGCAGAGGATGGTGACAGCAAGGACAGTGAGGGCGACTGCAGAGACCTTCATGGTGCCTGTAGGCAGAGGCTGGGTAGACTGCACGTGCTGTCTCAGAATCCTCTGTGAGCCCTGCTAACACTAGCCCTTTATAGGGAGTTGGGGGCCAGTGGAGGGGCCGCCCCAAGGGGAGTTTCCAAAGCAACAGCCAATCATTAGCTGATATCATAAGAGAAATTGCACAAAATGGAAAAGAAAACTGAAATAGCCACCGGAAATTCAATTTTCCCTCTCCTCCTTACCACCCTCCCTTCCAGGGTGAGCTCACCAGTTTTTCTTTGCCAGCCCAAGTACTGAGGGTGGAAAACTGCTTCCTCTACTGACATCCTGGGCTTCACCTTCTGGCCTGGGGAGCTCCCCAGAAAGCAGGAAGTGCCTTCCTCGGGCAAGAGGTGGGGTAAGGAGGACAAGATCAGAAGCCACTGACTGGGTCTTTACTTAGTTCCTTCCAAAGTCCTTGCTCATGCCTTACATCTCTCATCTCCCCTCTCTCATCCATGGAAGGATGCCATGTACAAGGTGTTTTATTAAGAATGGGAAGTCCTTGCAATGTAGACCTCAAAGGAGGTGGATCCCAACTAGGCATTGGGCTTGTCACCAGATAAAAGCTGGAGTGATTTCTCTTGGGATAGTTTCTTCCTTTCATCTTGGCCACAGGGTCATTCCCATTTACTTGCTGAGTGAATTTTGGGAACATTCCTTAACATCTTTGAGCTTCCATTTCCTTGGAAATGGGATACTTGGTACAGGCTTGTTTGAAGCAGATAAAATAATGTGTATACATAATAACTGCTGTTTACTGAGGGTCTCCTTCTGTGCCAGGCACTGCTCTAGGGCTTTGCAGGTGTCGATTCATTTAATCCTCAAAACAACCCAGCAAGACAGGTACTATTGTCCCTATTCTACAAATGAAGTAACTCAATAAGTGCTGGATCCCCATCCCAGGTCTCTTCGGGCACAAAAATGACAAACTGTGAAATCTGCAAAGGATTTCAGGGATTGGATCATTTATCCCACGTTGTCCAGTTACCGGGGAGGAAACCAAACTCAGCAGAAGTAACTTGTCTGAGAATATGTAGTAAATGAATGGCAGAGTTGGGATCAGAACCTGGTTCCCTGGCTCTCACTTGAGTGTTCTGTCCACTCAGCACTGTTTACTATTAAAGGGTTCATGGTTGGGGACATCCATGGTGTGGTCTTGACTGGATCAAGGTCCTTACTCCATTCCAAACAATTGGGTGAATCTTCATCAATTCCTGTTTGGATAATTGGCTCAGGTAGATTAGGAAGACCTTGTCTCCCTTCTTCCTTACAACGGCTCTCAGGCAGAACAGGAAATGAGCCTCAGAAAAAGTTACTAACACCCCTCAGGACAGGTGGGATTTGAACCCAGATGCTTCCACTGACCCACATCAGTAAGGCAGCTGACAGCTATTGGGCTCTTCGCCGGTTCTGAGTGCTGTTCTAAACTCTTCACAAGACTCCTCATTCCCTCTCCACAACACATTCACCAAGCCAATTAACGGTAGAAACACAGTTCTGCAGAGCACGGCCATCTTGTTTCATGAAACAAATTGCGAGCACTTTAGAAACACTCATGCATCCACACAAATAAAATATGCCAATTTAAATTGTTCCCTTCAAATAGCACCCTCAAGTTTAACTTAAGTTACCCCACATGTGGGTGGTTGTGTAGCCTGGTGATTAAGAGCAGAGGTTTTTGAGTTAGATCTGGGTTTGAATCCTATTTCTCCTATTTGTTGCCCAGGTGGATTGGTCAAGTTGCTTAATGTCCCTGGTCTCAGTTTCCTCCTCTATAAATTAGGGATAAAAATTGTATCCCCTCCTACAGTTCTTGAGACAATTAAGTCCTCATAAATGTATTCATGCTTGTAAAGCTCTTAGTACAATGCCTAACACATGTGAAGTGCTTAATAACATTAGCTATGACTGTGTTATTATTAAGAGTTAAAAACCAACCAACCCCAAAACTGCAATCTCCTTAAGATACTTTAGACTTTTCAGCATTCTAGACCAGACTCCCAACCCACTGATATGGATTAGTGAACTGCATTACAAAGAGTATTTTTCAACTAATGGCTCAGTTTAAAGGCTTAGAGGGGCTTCAGTGACTTGCATAAGGTCACACAACCTGAAGTGGTAGAACGCAAAATTGAACCCAAGTCTGTCTGACTCTAGACTTTCTGTCACACTGCACTGTTTCTTGCTAAGGCCCCATTTTTCCATGGTGAGCTGCTATTGTTTCCTTTCCCTGATCTCAGTTTCCTTCTCTAAGGAAGAAAGAAAAGTATTTTCCTGGGCTCCAGCTATGCTGAGTCAGGATGCTAGCTAAGGACAGAGGCAAGGAAACCCACAGATGGACCTGTACAATTCTTATCTTTAATCCTGGTAAACCTTTCAGGTGTGTCTGTGTATAAGTGGCGGTGGTGATGGGGAGGTGGGGGATTAAGGTGGTGGGGCTGCTGAGTGGGAATAGGGAATGGGTATGTCAGAAGTATTTTTCTTCCCTTTTGCTGGTTCTAGTGGTTTGTGGGGAGTGGAGAAGGAAGAACTCAATTTTAATTACATTTCTGTCACTACTTCCTCCTGTGCAAAATCGAGCCACCTTTAAGTTACATTCTGGCTCTAATATACTGATGCTATGAGAAAATCAAAGAGCCTGTGTCAACAGGGTGGCACCTGACACAGGGTAGGTGTTCAATGAATGGCAACTGTCATTATTATTCACGCAGCACTTTCTGTTCCTGACAACAGGACTAGGAACACCTGCCTGCCTGACCCTTCATGCTGGTGGTTGAGAGGACCAAGGGAGTGATGGCTGTGGGGTGCTTAGGAGACTGAAAGGTGAGACACGAGCATCGTGGAGCTGTCTCTGCCCTCCCTGTCTCCACAGCATGGGTGCCACCCAATCATTCCATGTTCACTCTACAAATCTTCAGTGAGAAAGCTGTGAGCCAGGCACTGGGGACACATGTTGAACAAGGCAAAGACCCTGCCCTCGGGAGCTTATGTTTGGGATGGTATGGAGATAGACAATAAATAAGTAAATACAGATTATTATTTTTCTTCTAAATTTTATTATTTTTCTTCTAAATTTTATTTTTTTTCTTGTTGTTGAGGATATATACAGCAAAACATACACCAGTTTGGCAGTTCCTTTCTTTCTTTCTTTTTAATGCATTTTATTGAAATATAATTTATGTACAGTGAAATACACACAACTAAAGTGACATGGGTCAATGCTTTTTTTTTTTTTGCAGTGTTCCCTCTTCTCCCCTCCCACCCTTGGCAACCAACAAAGAAAGTTTCCCTCCATATATAAACCTTTTCTTGACCCTCCACAGCAATGAACTAATACTATATTTGTCTTTCTGTGATTGATTTTTTCATTCAACATAATGTCCTCCAAGTTCATCTGTATTATCCGATGTTTTTCAGACTCTACATTATTCTTTAGCACTGCATAGCATTCCATTATGTGTATGTACCATAGTTTGGTCATCCACTCTTCTGCTATAAATCTTAGAGATAAGTCCCTTGCCAGATATGTAACTATTGGCAAATATGAATTTGTTGCTGTCATTTTTGTTATGTGCTTTTTCTTGGTGTCGATTTCTTTGTTCCATATAATTTTCTGTGCTGAGCTTGTTTTGTTTATGAATCGTGTTATCACTTCCCTAATTGCTATTGTTTTAGTATTTGCTGAATATTTATGCTGGTCCTCTTTTTTGATGTGAAGGTTTATAATTTTTCTTTGAGGTTACCCTGTGATTTATAGTTTTCTTCCCAAGTTTAGAACAGTCCATTCTATCTTGTAGTTGTCTTGACTTCCCTACCATCTACAAGTTCTGTAATGACACAATTTTTTCCCTCTTTTTGGTTTGTAATTGTCCTCATTTGTCAATTGATGTCCCTGGTTCCCTGTTTACAATCTTGTAGGCTTATTTACTTTGGATACTTCCATAGCTGGGGTGGTTTCTGGGTTATATCATCATGTGTGTCAATGGTCAGTTATTGTAGGCTGTTGTTGCTTCTCTGTCCAAAGGACTCCCTTTATCATCTCTTGTAAGGTTGGTCTGGTTTTAACAAATGCCCTTAATTTCTGCTTATCTGGAAATGTCCTGATTTCACCTTTATATTTGAGGGACAATTTTGCTGGGTACATAATTCTTGGTTGGAAATTTTCCTCTTTCAGTGTTTTATATATACAATCCCATTGTCTTCTCGCCTGCATGGTTTCTGCCAAGAAATCCGAGCTTAGTCTTATTGGTTGCCCCTGTAGGTAACTTTTCATTTTTCCCATACTGCTCTCATGCTTCTTTCTTTGTGTTTGGTTTTGGTGAGTTTGATGATGATATGTCTGGGTGATTTTCTTTTGGGGTCTATCCTGTTTGGAGTTTGTTGGACTTCCTGAATGGATATATTCTCATTTTTCATCATACCAGGAAAATTCTCTTCCAACAAATATTCGACAATTTTCTCTGTGGTTTTTATTTGTCACTTCCTGTTCTGGAATTCCGATGATATGTAGGTTATTCCTTTGAACCTTAGGCTTTCTTAATTTTGTTTTGATCTTTTTTCTGATCGATCTCTTTCCAAAGAAGTGTTCAGGTATTTGCCTTCAATCTCCCTAATTCTGTCTTCCATTGATTCAATTCTGCTCCTTTGCCTGTTCAATGTCTTATCTATTTCTGAAAACTTAGTATTAATCTTCTGTATTTCTGTGTGCAGATTTTGTATCATTTCTAATTTTTCATTTATTTTGTAATTTTGTTTTTGTATTGTCTTTCAGAATTGTTCTAGGGTTTTCTCTGTGTTTTCCTTGATCTGTCTCTCAATTCATTGAAGATACCTAACTATAATTCTTTAGAATTCCTCATCAGGGCATTCTAATGCTGCATCTTCCTCAGGGATGTGTTTTGGGTCTGTATCCTTGTCCCTTGTTTTTCCTGCTTTATCTTGCTTCTTCATGTGGACTGTGATGCTCTGTTGTCTCCGAG